GATACAGTTTGAGGCAATCACTTCCCTCCTGTTTTAATATTTAGTACATTAAGAATGTAATAACTAGGAGACGGCTTCTCAGGAGTAGAAGTCCATGTTAGTTGAGAGCTTAATCTTCTTATGATTTCAACCACAACTTTTTCAGCAACTTCAATGAGACCAAGACTGAGATCCTTGGAATGCATCTTCAGCAAACACCAAAAAAGGGTTTGCCTCAATTTTTTTGGAAACAAAATAACAACAATCAGCTCTATAATGGAGCAGAAAATATGACTCAGTTCATTAAGAAAAACAGACTAACCAAAATACGGATCAAGTTCAAACATACCTCCACCTCCTCCACCAGGAAAAGCCAATTTATTTATCTGGCATCTGCTAGACAACATCTAAACTATGGAGGAACCACTGAACAAAATAATTTGCTGAACTCAAACACCAGTTGGTTCTTGCATCAAACTAAAGTCACATTTTCATGAGTACTTTCCCAAGATTTTTGGAAGAAAATCCCAAAACTTTTATTATATCAACTTCTATTGAGATCCATGAGTGACTACATGGAGAAATGGCAGAATTCCCTTGGGGAGTTCATTAAAAAATTCTTAAACCTTTTTCATGCCCTTTGAGAAGCTAGAATTATTCAGATAACTTTGGTGTGATATGCCTAAATATCAATTTTTATTTCTAAATCAAATCCAAGCTTCACATCATCATTTAAAGTACACTGAATTTTTAAATTGTGATGGATGAAAGTAATGGGGGGAACATTTGGAATTTTTAGTGAAGCATATATTTCTGTAGCAGTATAGAAATGTCAATACAGCCTTTGAAATAGATAACTCAAGAACGATTAATCAACAAGAACCAAATGGCAACCTTCTCTGCTCATTCCATTACTTGACAGTATGAAAGTGCATTTACTTTCAGGTGCTAAAACAAACACGCCTGGTATTAATGTATTAATATGGTTTGAAATTTTGGGCAGTGATTTCGGATGATCTACAACTAAAAGAAAAATGGGAGTACTCAGTACCTTCAGACAGGCTCTCATGAATGTAATTTTTCATGATATACTATCTTCTAATTTATTTAAAATAAAAAAGAGTGTAGATTACAAAAATTCTGATCTAAATTAAACACTGATTTTGGTTAATGACAATGATTCTATGATGTACAAGTTAACAGGGAAGACCCACAGTATTGAAGTTGCATATACATCTGAGAACTCTCAAATTCTGAGAATGAGTCTTCTGCTTAACTTTTTAAAAATCTGCTACACTGTGCCAGCTCAAAAAAGGGCACCTTCCTCTACCCAGCCTTTCTTCCATTACTATTAGCCCAAAACCTGTACAAGTGCTTGTAACAGCATAACTTCTTCCACTGTATGAATTATAACAAATACACAAGTATAAAACACAATGACTACATGAAAATCTATAATGGCAGCGCCAGAAAACAAACAAAAGCAATAAAACCAAGCAAACAAACTCCCCCACAAGAAAACCCAAACAAAACCCCCAAAAAAGCAACAAGTCAAAAACAAAACTGTAAAAGCAGACAAGTACACTGGTAAGATATTTTAAAAAGTACATCAGTCCTTATCAGCAAATAACAGGCTTAGACTCTCATTTCTAGCTGTAGTCAATAGACAACACTGCTCTTTTTCTAACCTATGTACAGGAAATTCTTCAAAGAAGTAAAGCAATTAACAACTGACTTCAAATATGAGTATTAGCTGTATTAGCAAAGTTCAGAGAAATTCAATTTAACATTTAATCCAGACTAATTCATATGGCTCCCATTACCATTCGCAAATTACTGTATAAAACTTCTGCTTACAAAAAGATAAGTCAGTTCCTTTAGACTATGAAGGAAAACCATAAAAGGGACTGCAATCTGAATAAAACCTATTCTATGAAAAGATAACTTTAAAATGTGCTTGCTGCAACATGTATTTCTCCATGCAAGAGAAGGTTCTCACACTGCAGAGCTGTTTTCACCTCTGTGAGCAGACTGACAGTTAATCTGGATCATTTTGTCCTATTCTGGGCTTCATATCTGTTTTCATCCTTGTGCTTCAGTATTGCTGGAATGAGAACAGCTGTGAATGGGCATGTTACTATCAGCATGTTCTCTGAAGGATCTGGCCACGGCCTGGTCACAGCCTAAACAAGACTGCTCTTCTTCTGAAGAAAGGAAAAATGACAAGTTCATAAATCTTCTGTCAGTATTTAGAACCTTATTTTCAGTGACAGTTTTCATCATCTGTGAATTTCATCTTCTTTCCATAAAAATTTATTCAAAGGGAGTGTAAGCTGCAGATGAAGTTACATTTTGTAACTGCTTTTTTTTCTTTCCAAGGTACAATTTCACATTTATGCAGAGGTTAAATTGTGTTATCACTCTGAAATCACATCACGTGCAGTAATTAAGAGAGTCATGCATCCTCCAGGCTCTAGCTTGCTATTCTCCAAGGAAGGTGAAAGTTCAGAAAGAGAAGGCAAAAATCATTTTAAGCTGCATTAATTTCCCTCCAGGTTTAGACACCCAAGGAGAAGTCATCTTTGTTGTGAACTACATTTTCAAGTAACCTACAGGCAGGTTTGCACCTCAAGAAAGCACGGAGCCAAGAACTGTTTATCTCATCACATATCCAAGATAAGAATTCCTATAAAGCTGTAATGGACCAGGTCTGTGCACATCAGACCCTGAAAAAAAAAATGGGAATTCCTATAAATAACATTTTAACAACAGAAGTTTTCTGTACCTAACAATAAAGAAACAGGTAAATTGGAATCTACCACTTTATTTTGACCCTTGCTTAGTAATTTTCTGATAAAAGTTTCCATCCAAAACTTCCTACCTTGAAATAAAGTGAGGAATATGGACTGCAGCATCACAAAGGAAAAGTCATACTTAAGAATAAGCTGAAACAGAATGACATACAGAAGTTGTAGTTTTCATGGGCTGTAATTGACAGAGCTCCCAGTGTGCTTATTTAGGATGCACTCTAGTGGACACACATATAATGAAATCAAACAAAGATACAAACAGTATAAAATGATAAAAAAATGAAAGCAGCATGTCATCAGAATTAATTTCTAGCATGTTTTAAAATAGTGTCTTACATTTTGAAGGTTGTATGAAGGTTGAAATTTTCGTGGTCAACATGACTGCACATTAAGTGTAAATGAACATGAGTTACCAATTTTTGGAAGTGTTAATCTAAATATTAAGAATCAGTTATACATATTGTTTAAAAGACAAACTCCATCTGTTTATCCATTTCTCCATCCCTTTGAGATTGGCACAAGAGGCTGCTGTGCATGCAGTGCTAACAGGTGCAATTAGACCTGGTATCCAAGTGTGTCCTTGAATGATTCTATTGTAACTGTTTCTAACAAATATAATCGTAAACTGTGCCAAAATCTGTTTACTGGAACACCAACCACAAGGGTGTATTCATGTCACAGGAAAGGTTTGGACTATCATAGAAACTGCAAACCAATCAGAATTATTGTAGATAGCAAAGCCTGACCACTTAGACACAAAAAAATAGTTCCACTTCTCATGACTCCAAAGTTACACAAACATTTCTAAGGATTTATACCTGGTAAGTGACTTTAAGGATGCTCATATAAGACGTGGTTATTAACAGCATTCAAATAGCAGTGTAGTAATAAGATGGGCACAGGATTTTTTTTAATAGAGGTACTTTATCTTTAAGGGAAAAAAATAATATATTAATATATAGAAAAATCAATAGTGCTCATGTATTTAAAATTTTGTAAGATTATTCTTAGTCTGATCTACATGATCAAAACAAGTTATTCAGAGCAAGAAAACATTTATTATGTGATTGACCCTTGTCTGTTGGGTGTATAGATACTTTTAACAGTTTGCCAAGGATAGCAAACCCCTTAGACTCAGCGATACTATTAAAAAATTGAAGTGAAAGTATCAGAAAAATCTCATCCCAAGACTGAAGATCACAGTGAATGCATTAACTATGCACTGACTTTGTAATGAAAGGTATTTTCATTACACACTATTGGTAATGACCATCTAACCTGCAGCAGAAGACAGAGATGCAAATGTACATTTTATTGAATGCATATTCATTTTTAAGAACAGCGGGATTTCTTAATGCTGCCATTTTTTCTATTTATAATGAAAAGACACAGAACATTCTTGACAACCTATACCAAGATACCAGTGATTACAAACATCTGTTCTTGTAAAAATGCAATCTGTAAGGATTATAAAACTTATTTTTTATAGATAGCCATGGATCAAACTAAATATTCTTCTAAATTTTTAGAAGTGAAGTTTTAGAAATAATGATGGTATTTAGTAGAGAACACATTTAATTTCTTGATTTAAAAATTCAAGAAAAATGCAGAAAAGTCTTAAAAACTTGACTAATCAAGACTAACATGCAGACACTTGCAGCTTACCTAGTACCACACAATGCCCAGAAAACACTCTAATAATAAATATAACAATAAATATATTTATCCAATAATAAAGCCTAGATGACCTCATGACTTGAAGGAGACAAGATCTTCTAGTATATACTGAGTCAGAGTTAAATTTACCTCTTTCAAATACATATGGGAAATCTTATTGGATTTTTGCACCAAGTTTGAAGTACAGAATACTCTCCATCTTTTAATCTGCAGAACATTCCCTTTTTCTCTCAGAAACCATTCAAATTCTTGGAAAATTATTTTCAGTAATATTTTATTCTTTTAATATTGATTCAAATTGTCATATTGTGGCATCTATCCTCAAATCATATTGACACTTTAGTTATATTTTCATTTATTATAGTTACTTCAATATGCAATAAGTAGAAAATATATTTGCTGCTTCCACTTCAGCTGCTGTTTTCTTCTTGTGAAAGTCAGCCATGCCAGCTACAATGCTTTAAGAACAAAAAGGAAGAATCGGTATCAGAAAAAACGGACTTTATACAAACACCTTGAAAACAGACACCAGAGAAACAGTTATGTAAATCAGTTATATTTATAAAATACATAAATCGAGATACTACACTTCAGGATAGCAAGTAATGAGTAGAAAATATATTTACTGCTCTCAGGTCAGCTCTAATTTTCTTCTTCTTCTTCTTCCTCTTCTTCTTCTTCCTCCTCCTCTTCTTCTTCTGTTACTGTTGGGAGGTTTGTTTGACTCTGGAAAACAACAACAAAAATATTCTACCACTTACCAGCATTCACTGAGCTTTGTAAAAAGGAAAAGAGAAAAAAACTGCCCATGACAGACAAGTTGGGACACAGCAGTACAATCATGTATTCTCCCATTCAATACAATGAAGGCCATGACAAGACTTTTGTTATAAAATCCAGCAAATCTGGATGATGCATTGTGATTTTGAGGGCAGAATCAATAGTACAAGCCTATATGTCTTATTTTATCAATCTGTTTTTAATTTGTAGCAAACATGTCACTGTAAAACCTGAAATAACATCCCCAAAAGCCAATGTAATCTATCACCTTTAAGCATGAAAACTTGGCACATGTAGGAAGCAGCAGGTACTTAAGACTCATTTTCACTTTTTGTTTTACTATTTTATTATTAAAGAACCCATAAAATATGCCCAAAGCCTGAAGAATATTTTAAAATATGGAATTACAAAAAATTATAAAACTTGGGGCTATATGGGATCTTGCACACACACCTGATTTACCTCAGTGGAAAAAACACCTGTGAAAAGCTAATCCTAAGAACAGTCATATCTTCATAAATCTATTGTCAGCACAAAGAAGCAAATTTTTAAGAATCAATCATTTACAATTTCTTTCTAAACACTTACTGGTACAGTCTCAGCTGGCTCCTCAGGTGTAACTTCAGCTATTGTCTTTTCATTTTCCTGTGGCAATGAAAACCAGTTTGCAGTTCAGATGTCCCATGTCATGAAATTGCATTTCAGGTGTGTTAAAATGACATTATGTATTAATGTAGAGAGAACACTTTAGATAAGTGCTATACAAATTTAGTAGTGTAGGAATATGGTCTTGGTCTTAGGCTTAACCCCATTTTTAAATAGTTTTTTTTAATTAACAGAAATTTAAAATTTTTACATATTTGTTTTTTCTGTCACTTTCATATACTCATCTTCCTACAAATATGGTTTGTCGGTATTTTAACAGAGTTTTCTAAAAACTTAAGGTATTTCTAAAATACTCTATGCTCCACAGAGGTTTTAAAAGCTTGAGGGAGATAAGCATGCCAATTATCCATGTATGTTTTTACTGAAGCAGCATTAGAAGACCATAAACATGGATATCTGTATACACACTCTTCTGTTAGTACAAATTCCCATACACCACTAAGGTAGCAGAATCCAGATGCACTGCAATTTCAAACCACAGCTCTTTTTCCAGGTACAGTAAATGGATTTTTGCTAACCCCCTCCAAAATATTACTGTCTTGGTACTTAAATTAGACATGCTTATTTTATAAAACTTTCTAATAAATACCATCAAGCAATCTGGAAGCATCAGGTGAGCTGACCTTATGCTGGATTTTTGGAGTAAATTTCTGTTCTTGACCAAAATCCAAGTATAAAACCCAGACTGCAGAAGCCACGTGTTAGACATTCTCCCCATCTAAACTCCTGTTTCTTTAATTATGTGTTAGTTCAACACCCCTGGGCTTCTGCTTTGTGTTTTGTAATTGATGTCTGCATCTGCAAAAAATGGCTGATAAATGGTATTTTCAAACCACCAACTAAGCATTGGCTTAAACCTCTTGACCTACCTGCTGCAACTGCATTTCAGCTTCCTTCTTCTGTGCTTCCAACTCTGCACGTTCTTTCTCCAACTGAGCCTGAAATCAGTTTAAGAAAGGACAAATTAGAAAGAAAATCCCCCATATTTATTTTTTTCACCATATTGTTTTACAGTTGATTTTATTATTGAAATAATAAATAAAAAGTAAGCATAAAACATAAATGCTATGTTATGTTAATAACAAAGTCCTTTCAGTATCAACTGGTTTAGCATTTTCAAAGGGTTGAGACTCTTATTGATAAAGAGGCTTTACTACCAAAAGGACAATAAAACAGTTAACTGAAGTTAGTGTACACAATTCAGACACTGTCTCATTATACAAGCTCTTTATCAGTCTGTATTAGTTATCTCCTGTCCTTTGGATTAAGTTCTTTGATACTTTGTATAGCACCTAGCACACACAGATGAATCAATATAGAATCAAATCTATTGAAAACTTTGGCAAGCAATGTCATTAACATTAATGATGTCCATCAGCAACCTTTAGTATTTACAACTGGAAATATCAAACAGGACGTGTTTATTAATTGGAAACATAAGTCCTATTACATCAAAACTCCAGAAACTGCATAATCTAAGTATCTACATTCAACAACCTTAGAGTATACTGTTTGCTCTTGCATTTTGTGAGCAGTTACAAACATGGTCATTCTTTTCTATTCCTTTTTGGTACCTAAATGCAAAACTTTCTTCAGTATTTGACTACAAAACTGAATTAGGTTAAAAAAAATGCATCTAATGTGAGTATTGTTCAACATATTTCCCATAGCTTAGGTGAAATTATTTATTCAATTCTCAGTGAATTATCTCTAGACACAATCTCTTTATTTTCATTTACTATTTTACATCACTCATTAAACCCTTAAGCACATTACTTTTGGTTTGCAAATTACTAAACTCCAAATTTTAAAACTGCAAGTGAAACAAAATGAATGCATCTTACACTAGAGCTGGGCTTAATGTGATCAGCATAAATTTAAAATTAAGCTTTTGATTTTAACATAATGAAACTCATCCATACAAAAAAAAATCCAGTCAGGTCACATCAACATCACCATAGCAACAATGAGCTCACATGACTCATTTACAAAGAATGGCTAGAAGCACAGGTATTGTATTTATTTCTCATATTACAAGCCCAAACAGTATTTTCAGTTACTTCTCACGTAAGTCCTAAATTGACTCCTTTTTATCTTAATAGTCATTATTTTTAATAACATTTTACTGCATAGTATGTAACTTTTCCTACTCATGTGCTGACTAATAATTTCAGTTATTCAGAAAAGTGAGATTAAAATACTTGCTTTATGCCACCTTTAACAAAATCAGTATACAGCTATTAGAAGCATACAAAGAGCTCCAATATGACACAGCACCATACGCTGCTTAGAATTATCTATTATTTAGTATTAATAACCTGTTGTTCTTCAAGTTTCCGCTGCTCTTCTTCCTGGATTTTTAACCTTTCAAGTTCTGCTAGGGCTGCCTCCCGTTCTTGTTCCAGCTCAGCTCTCTCCAGTACTCTCTATTTCAAAGTAACACAGAATCAATTAAACATAAAAATTAGATATATTAAATAGCATCAACTATACTGTAGCAATCTTTTTTTGCCGAAGTTGGATCCACCTTTTTTTCTTCATCTAAGTTTCTTCTGTAATTGTAAATCCAGTGTGCAAGATACTCTATTGGATCTGCTGGCCGATGCTCTACAACCTCTGCCAGTCCTTTCTTCAAGCAAGTTCCCAGGCATTGCTTCAGATACTGAGACTCCATCCAAATCTACTGACAATAAATAGACAGACATTAGATACCAATGTCAGAATTAAGTTACGGGCTTTAAGAACTCTTGCTTCAGGTGCCAAACACTGACTATGACATTACTTTTTACTAAGCTTGCAATTTATACAAGAAAGTTATTTGACAGTGGTTTGGTTCTTAAAAGCTCCAGTGACAGGTCAGTTACAGCAATCACTGCAGAAAAAAAATGCCTAAACACCACGTTACTGCTTGGACATGTATAATTCATAAACTATTTAGAAACATGATGCCAATTCTAGGTCTGCATGATGGCAAAGAAAAAAACAAACCCTGAAAATCACAACAGCACATAGAACACTTCTACAAAGATACTCAAAGAGCAGGCAAGTAGTTCTGAGGACAATTAAGGGGTAATTGTGGCTTGAACTGTCAAAGCTATCTTTAAGACATGTATGCAAGGCGAGGGCCTGAAGCACTCGCTCCACAGTCGCGAAAGGCACAGATCACTGTACACACGCTTTACCAGCCCAGTTTAAGCAAACATAGCCCTCCCTTGCTGTTAAGGGAGCTGAATCCATGCCGGGACAGAGAGCCCGGACACTTAGCACAGCAACAAATACAACGCCATCCTCGGCACTAGCGGCGCCTCCAGGTGACTTTAATAACACCATCCACGCCGTCTTCTCCGGGCTCCATTTAAGCACCGGCTGGGCCCCTGCGCTCCCGGCGGGGCGGGCCCGCTCCTCATCCCCACGTCGGGGGCTCGGCGCTCTGGCAGAGCCTGGCCCCTTACCGCGCCGCGCCTCACGCTCCTCCCCAGCCGGTGGTATCTATGCCCCGCTTCTGGTGCCGCGGGCTGCGCTGCTGCCGCTCGCCTTCCCTCGGAGAGCAGCCCCGCTCCGGCTCCTTCCCGGCAGCAGCTCCCGGAGCCCCGGCACGGCAGCCCCAGCCCGCCCCGCTCCTGCCGCCCGGCCCGGCCCCCAACGCGCGGGGTTGCTCCGCAACAGCGCCGCGAGGGCCGCGGCCCCAGCGCCGCCCGCAGGAGCTGGCGGAGGGGCGAAGGGCCTGCTCGGAAAGGTCACCGATGGCACAAAGCCGGGCGGAGGGGCCGAGACCTCAGAGGGTTTTGTGGCCCTTAAGAGAGACCTCGACTGGCTGGAGGGATGGGCAGAGAAGAGCCTGAAATTCAGTATTGGCAAATGCAGGGTCCTGCACCTGGGGATTAATAACCCCACCACCGGGAGAAGCTGGGGGTGATCTGCTGCAGAGCAGCTCTGTGGAGAAGGACCTGGGTGGGCAACAAGATCTTGCAGCAGTGCACTTGTGGCCAAGAAGGCCAATGGTATCTCGGGGTGTGTTAGGAAGAGCATTGCCAGCAGGTCAAGGGAGGTGATCCTGCCCCTCTGCTCAGCCCTGCTGAGGCTCTGTCTGGAGTGCTGTGTCCAGTTCTGGGCTCCACAAGTGTCAGAGAGACATGGAGATCCTGGAGCAGATCCAGCAGAGGGCTATGAAGATGATTAAGGGACTTGAGCATCTCTCTTACAAGGAAAGGCTGAGAGAACTGAGCCTGTTCAGCCTGTAGAAGAGATGACTGATAGAGAATCTCATTGATATGTATAAATATCTAAAGAGGAGGTGCCATGCTCTGCTCTGTGGTGCCAGCCACTAGGACACCACAGAATGGGCAGAAACTGATGCATAGGATGCACCATTTAAACAGGAGGCAGAACTTTACTTTGTGCAGGTGGAACAGCTTGCCCAGAGAGGTTGTGGAATCTCTTTATCTAGAGATATTGAAAGCTGTCTGGATGCAGTTCTGTGCAGCGTGCTCTAGGATGCCCTGCTTAAGCAGGGAGGCTGGACCAGATGACTCGCTGTGATCCTCTCCAACTGTTTTAATGCTGTCTCTGTGTGAGCAGCTTCCCTTCACAACTGATGTGATCTTTTCTGCTCCCTGCAAAACTCATCGGCTGACGTTCACCTCAAATTGGACCAGCTGTATGTTTTACTGTCAGCTTCTAATCGGGTATTAAAAAACCTTGCAAACAACTGCAGCTGGAAGAATTAATTCCGACGCCTAAGCGCTCTAACATTATCTCGGCCGCTCCCCGGCAGACATGGAAGGCGGGCTGCGTCCCTGACAGCAGCAGGCGGAGGTGCCGTGAGGGTGAGGAGCCGGCGGCAGCGGCTCGGGGATCGGGCGGGCGCGGGCCCGGCTGTTGCGGCCGGGGGGTGTCGCTGCCGCCCCGCGAACGCTCCGCGCAGGCCGCAGGCGCAGCCGCCCGCCCCAGCATTGAGCGGCCGTGCGCCGGCGCGACCATGGCGGCGGAGCGCGGCACGGCGGCCGAGGCCCTCGTGGGGCAGGTGGTGCTGCCCGGGGACCTGCTGCTGCTCCCCGCGCACTACGACGAGGACGCGGAGGGCGAGCGGCTGCGGCTGAGCGCGGGCACCGCGCCGCAGGGGCGGCTGCTGTGCGGGCCGGGGCTGCGGCGCAGCGGGGCCGGGCTGCTGGTGACCAAGTGCGGGCTGCTGCGGCACCGGCCCGGGGGCGGCGGCGCCTACTGGGTGGACTCGCAGCAGAAGCGGGTAGGGCCGCGGCGGGACCCGGGTGTGTGTGTGTGTGTGTATGTGTGTTGGTCCCCGTCTCGCCCGCGCTCCCCTGACCCTCTGTCCCCCTCCTCCGCTGCAGTACGTGCCGGTGAAGGGCGACCACGTCATAGGGATCGTGACGGCCAAAGCAGGGGACGTGTTCAGGCTGGACGTGGGCGGCAGCGAGCCGGCGTCCCTGTCCTACCTGGCCTTCGAGGGCGCCACGAAGAGGAACAGGCCAAACGTGCAGGTGGGTGCCCTGGTTAGCTGCGGTAGCGCTTTAGCGGCGTCGTTTGGTGGCGCTTCTGTTGTGTTTCAGTGGCTTTTCTTAAGGGAAGTGTTTTCATAAGCCCACGTTAGAAGAGATGGGCAGATCTGGTTGTAATGGTTTCTCCTTGGTTCTCTCCGAGGGGTTTTGCACCCTTAGGCCGCGGCCTTTCTGGGGTTTCTTAGGAGGACTGTAACTAGCGTGGTTTGCTCTCTCTCAGCTGGCCGGGTGTTTCATTCTCATGTTTTCGTTTGCTCATAGTGCTGCCAGGAGCAAATGCAGTTCATGAGTAAGGTGCATCAGATAGGGCACTCCGATGTTAAGGTTTTAAAACATATGATGCTAGTAAAAAATACTAGTTGTGTGGGTTCTTTTAACAGTACTATTATGAATGGTTGTGCTGCATGTTCATGCCACAGTTTCTGCACTCGGATGAAACGCCATTACCAGAATGTAAAAGAAACTGTAAAGAAAAAAAACAAATAGGCCAGTGTGGTAGTTTTTATTGTTGTCCTGCTAAATGATTATAGAAGATAAAATCCTATATTTTTGTTCTTTGACGCTGTTTTGTTTAGGTGGGAGATCTTATTTATGGTCAGTTCGTTGTAGCAAATAAAGACATGGAACCAGAGATGGTCTGTATAGACAGCAGTGGAAAATCAAGTGGCATGGGAATAATTGGACAAGATGGCTTCCTCTTTAAAGTTTCTTTAGGTCTAATAAGAAAGTAAGTACTAAAAAATGTAAGTAATCACTCTCACATGTAAGATTCCCACAGCTGTTTCTTCTGAGCAGTGTGGGCAGTTTGGTAAATCAGACTGTGTGATTCTTGTAGTGCATTAAAACCAGATTTGCTGAATAGAGTACGGATTGATCTAGAAGGAAAGTTTATTTTTCCTCTTAAGAGACTTAGAAGCTCTTTTGTATGGTGTTGCATCACCTGTTTAAAAAAAGTGATGTGGTTGCCAAGGCAGTACGGAAAATAAAAGTAATGACTTGGGGAAGTCAAACATTCAGGATAGTGTTTCAGGTATGCACGTATTACCTTGGAGTTTAAAACTTGGCAATGCTTACTGTCCTTTTTCTGTTTCATGGGGTAGTAGAGGTGTATGTTTGGCTGACAGCTGATTAAAGGGATTCTTTGCACATCAGTACACATTATTTTCTGACTTCCAAAGAAAAACAAATAACACTGAAATAAAGATACAGGTTTAAAAAGTGTAGGATTTTAGTTTAAAATTGACACATTACTCTAGGAACTGTTTCATAAGCTTTTGAATGTATTGTGAACTTTGGAGTTGTTTATGCTCATGTAAATAAAGGATTTTTTTGTGACTGTAAAATGGATAAACAATGGTCAAACTTTGTTGTTGCTTTTTGGGTGGGGTTGTTTGTTTTGTCACTCTTTGGATAAGCAATCTGCAGTGTAGAGCAGCTTTTTCATACCTGGCATTGTCTGATTTATAGGTCCTATCAGAAGCCAGTGTGAACTGTACAAAAACTTTTTGCAGCCATTCTGTTTTCCAAATTTTGTCTGTATGCAAGTAAAAAAACAACAGCATATTACAAGTAAACTACTAAGTCCTGATATGATTTTAGTTTTTGTGAATACTTGGTCAGTCTTGGTTTAATCCTAGACATGTTACAGTATTTAGTAGTCTGTTTATTGCTGTTAATACTGTTTCCTGAAGTAGAAGGGAAGTCCTCTTTTGAAAGACACTTTTGGGGTGTCAGATAGCATTTCAAAAATGTCATTTGGTCAAACTGTACTTTTTAGAATTATTTAACTCATAGAATGGTTGTAAAAGTATCGAGTCACTTGAAACTTGTCAGGGATTGCTTCTGAATCTAATGAGAAAAAAACTAAATTTACAGTGGCTTTATTTTTTTTAGGTGCATGTATTTTATATGACAGGGGGCCTTGAAAATCTGATACTGTATTGCTATTTTGGATGTATATGCAACTTTATAATATTTCAGTGTTTCTGAAATAGATCTCATAATAGCAGTACTGCTGGAGTTACTGGTCAATAAAAATGTGTCTGTAAGTGTGGGCATTCCTTCCTCTGACTTTTTTTTTTGCTCTTGTTCACAGGCTCTTGGCTCCCAAATGTGAAATAATTCAAGAGCTGTCACAATTGTACCCATTTGAGCTGGTGCTGGGAATGAATGGAAGAATATGGGTAAAAGCAAAAACAGTTCAACAGACTTTAATTATAGTAAATATTTTGGAAGCCTGTGAGTATATGACTGCAGAACAGAGAAAACAAGCGCTTGCCAAACTGTCGGGGAACTGATAAGAAAAAACCTTGAAGATTTGTTTGCGATGACTGTAGGGTGTTTTGGTTATTTTTGTATTCAGATTTATATTAAAAGCTTTTTTTTTGAATGAAGTACTAGATTTTTGGTTGTTCTTCATTTCCCTTCTTTATCCACTCAGCTTGATTTAGTGTTGTTTAAGGAGTATGTTTCGACTCACCTTTGTGGTTATGAAACCCTGTTTATGTTCTTGAATTTTCTGACTAATGGGAAAATGATCTGTAGAAGCTTTCATTAGCTCTGAAGTGCAACTATCTAGGTCTTCTTTTAAAAACTGGTCATTTTGTGAGCTGCCTGTGTTTGTTTTTATAGGTATTAAAATTTCAAACCATCCATGTTTACTTGGGATAGCAAAAAGTATCCCATGGGTCATAATTTTGGTTGAGTGCTCTATTTATACAGTGACATGAAGTAGTTATTTAATATATTATGAAACTTGGGACTAGAAATGCAGATAGAGAATACCAGAAAATAATTGCAGGGTGTAGCATAAACCAATCACAGGGTGATTAAGGTAAATGATCAGATAAGACCAAAAATATGTTCACAGGGACGTTGTCACTTTCCCTAAGTGATGACCTGCCTAGTAGTATTATGGACATGGTGATTAGGATGTCACAACAATAGCCATGTGTTTCTTGGTTCAAGGCGCTGTTTTCTTTAGTAATAGCATAAAGATGCCACAGAACTTTGCTGATATTTAACAAAATCAGCATTTCTGCAAAAAGCCATGTTTGGCTTCTTTGTATCACAGTCCCTCGATGCATATCGAGGAGATGCTTTCCTAGGAAGGGTAAGGTCTCATTAGGATTTTAGTATGTGACTAATTTGCTACTGTTTTGAGAGAGGAAGAGAACCCTGGATTAATGGAAGGGTGGTTACTGATGCCTTCTTCCTGTGAGAGAAAAGCTTGATTGTAGGTACCTAATGAACTGCTTGCAGCTGTTAGGCAGTCATTTAGATCTGTGATGTTCTCTGGTTCTTAATAAGCTGAATGGTTTAACAGCAATAGTTAAAGGAAATTACTAAAAATGAACTAATTATGGTGAGCCTGAATACCATCTTAATTAAAAGTGGAAACATAATTTTTCCTGTTTATTCTGTATTTCATCCAAAACTCAGCCTATGGCATTTGATGATAGGGTTGTCTTTGGCATCTCTGTCGTTTAGAAATTGCTGCAGTTCAGAGCCAGCTCCTCTGAGTCATCTGTAATGTGCTTACCTAGGGCTTCCCCTGGTTCAACAAGAACACCACTCTAATGGTTTCCGTGTGAGTCAAATGGCTACAATTCAGAATTCTTTGTGAATTTCACTGGGCATTGCTCATCTGGCTTGGTAGGTCTTCAGTCATCCTTTTTCACCTGTCGTCTCCCAGGTGAAGTGACTTTCATTCGTATCCCATAAACCTTTTGGGTCTGGAGTCTATCTCTTACTACACATGAAAAGCTGTAAATTAATCAGGTTTTCAATAGCTGTTCTTCTCTAGAGCTTTTTCAGTTTCAGCTAAGCAGAGCCTCTGAAGGTTGTCTGTTATTGGAACAATAGCTGGCATAGGCAGAAAAACATTTGCCAAATTATCTCAGGGTGCTAACTTTTTTTTTGTGAATTGTTCTTGGATCATAATAGTAAAACCACAGGAATGGGCAATGACATGGATCGTTTTCTGGGTAGCTGTGGCTTGAAATGGAATTAGCCTTACCACTGGCCTTTGCTCCTTTCCCTTCCGAAAGCCTGTGTTCCAAGCTTAACCTGCAAGATACAAATGAACAATCCCTGTTAAAATGCTGGTTTGGTAGTGCAGTACTGTAAATGGCAACCTTGAAAGTTCTCAACATAATCTACACACTATTTTATACCACACATCATGCTGTCCCATTGTCACCCACTTATCACCCAAATACAAATTTAGTTAAATCAAGAATAGGATACAAAATGCATTAAAATTATGCTTGTTATTAATTTAGCAAAATTAGCCGAAAAGTTCCTGGGTGTTACCCCCTACACTTAAGTTTGACAGTTTATACAGTGGAAAAAAATTACAGTGGATGTGAACAAAATGGGTGTGGGGAGAAATGCTTGAAACAAAGTACACTTAAACACATTACTAACAGAAGACTATATTCATGTTTTGGGGTTTTTTTTTTA